CCGCGCCTCTGCTCACTCTAGCCCTCCGGCCGTTCCTCACTTTATCCCCCGGCCTCTGCTTACTTTAGGTCGCCGTGTGTGATGCTGTGTTTCGTTGTGAAAGCGAAACTACTTTGTTTGGCCTTCCAAAAATGGACACGACTAGAAATCAGTGGTTAAGTTGTATTTACAACACTGTTCCAGAACACTTCAACCCAAATATTCAGATGTGTGCAGCACATTTTATGGAGGACTGTTTGCTGATCCTGGGAGAGTAGACTACAATGCTGGCTGTTCTGACTCAAAGACTGTAAGTAAGTTTTTTCTATTTAAAGAGTTTTTATATTTTATTTTTTTTATATTTAAAGCGAGTTTTTTGGTCAGTGTAGAGTAGGGCTTGTTGTTTGTCGTTTCTCCGATCACAAATGCAGACGTAGTTTTATGTTTACTCGGCGCGATGCAACGCAACGCGTAAAAAGAAAGTATAAGTCGTTATAATCCGTAATTATGTCCCCGCTGGATGCAACGAATGCCTCGTTTATAATGGGTTTTCATGTTTTTGAATCATCGCTCCGGCCTGACAGGGCATCATCACAGTATGGTAGGGGCGTAACATTTCCGTCACATGCTTGAGGTATTCGGCCAATCACAACGCACTGGATAGCTGGTCAATCACAGCACACCTCGCTTTTTCAGACCGATGAGCTTTGTAAAAATCGACGCGTTTCAGAAAGGCGGGGCATAGAGGAGAAACAATAATGTACAGTATGTGGAAAATAATGTGTTTTTTTAACCTTAAACCGCATAAACACATTTCATTACACCAAATACACAAAATACTGTTCTTTTTAGCAGCATTATATGACCCCTTTAATTAAATTCTATAAAGTAATTTTTTTTTAAAAATAGGCATTTTTGGTTATCTGGTGTCTTTATCTGGTGAATCAACAGGATTCACTACTGGATTAAACAACTGAAAGAGCTCATGGAAAAACAGATGCTTTAGGTGTTACAGTATAATTCAAATGTCACCTTTCAGTTGTTCTGACTGGCCTGCTGAATAAATAACACACCTCATGAAGATGTCACAGCAAGGGCCAAGCACGTCATCTCGGAAGGTGGACAGAATGACAGGCCGCTGACATTAACCAACACAGCAGCCTGCACTGGGACTCTGCCTGTCAACATGGTATTGCCCCCATACAACCGGTAGAGTGGCTTGTCTGTTTGACGCATGCACACCTCCAGCCTCTTTTACTGGTATTTGTGCGTCCAGTGGGAGTCTCAGGCCCGGTGCTGCCAGCGCTGCTATCAGGCAGCTGAGTGTGTGCAGAGCCTATTAAGACGGTCTCCATCGTTAGAGAGACAGCAGCAGCTGGCCGTCAGGGTTCTTAGGGGAGCCGTGGCGAGTGATGTTCAGGGGGCAGGCGATTAGAGGAACATTTCAACCTGTTGGGCGACTCTGCACATATGAGCCTTTGCCTGCAGTGTTGAGAGGTACAAGTAAGACGGGAGGAGACGGGGTGAGGGAATGTCTTTTTAGTGAAAGTGTCAATGTGACTCTTTCTTTAAGCTGAAGTGTGTAATTTCTGTGCCTCTTAGGGTCATCAGATAGATTTGCAAATTCACGCCATTGGTGTTGTTGCCAGATCTTACGAAAATTAGATCAAATTAATTAATGATGTAATTAATAATAAAGCCCAACAAAAAACAATTGGGTATTGGTAAAACATCTATTTTACTGAAATATTAGCATCATAATTTTAGCAACCCACGTTCCCATCTCTCTCAACCCCCAGCCCATAGTTCACAAGCTGCACATGCAATTATTGCAATTCATTGCTAACACATGATATAGCTTAAGACATTTGCAAGTTCGTTTCATACAGATTGTATGTAAATAACATCATCCAGTGTTATTTTTTTTTCTGTCATAAAGTATCCTGTTACCATATGACAAACTACTTCAGTGTGTAAGTGAACTGTGCGAATGAATCAAACAGTTTGAGACCTTTTTACAAACCTGTTTGACTGTTTAGATTAATAAGTATTCATGAATGTCTAGTTCTGATTGTAAACAACTGAAAGAAAACACACATGACATTGCGTAAATATTATCATAGAAAATGATTACCAGGTTGTTACCCAGCTAACAGTGAACATTCTCAGAACGTTCTGGCGAGTTATCAAACGTTCTTCTAGCACAAAGACGTTATTTAGACATCGTTCATGGAACGTTTTCTGAAATGTAGTTGGAGATTCGTCTAACTTTTTTTTATTGTTACTAGGCTACTTAAAAATATTCAGAGAACATTCAAACGTATAGCCTAACTTTCCCATAATGTTTGCAAAATGATAAACTTGAACGTTCTCTTAACATTCGTAAAAACAAAAATGTTTTTAATACATTTAAAAAACAAAATTCTGAACGTTAAGAGAACATTCAGCAATAACGTTTTCATAACTTAATTGGAACATTAGAAAAACGTTATTAAAACACATTTTTATTGACTGGGTAGGCCTATATGGTAATCTCTAGCGGCAGAAAAGGATTTATTAGTAAAAAATTTTACTGGGGTAAAATGTGCGCATGTGCGTTGAAGAACAGGCTATGTTTTTATGCTATTTTTCTATTCTATATACTTCTGTTATGTGATTAGTTATTTTTAAACTGTAAGGCCATACTAACCAGCCACACCATGACCCTTTGTTGTGACCTAAAATATATGTTTGCCTTGATGATTTAAGATATAATTTAGCTTATTGGATAATGCTCGTGGCCCTTATTTTAATGGCTATATTTTAAACCTCTTGCGTGTGGCGAAAGAATACCTTTATCCTCCTGTTCTGAAATGTCTCGATGATTTGATGTCCCAGTCAAAGCCTGTGAAAGCAGTGGATGATTTGAAAAAGGGAAAATACTGCTAGCTTTGAGGGCTTTTTCTCTTTGATGAAATGTTTATGATTTTGCAGGTATGAGACGGTCCAGTCATGGAAAGACAGAAGAGCTGCGGCGCCATCTGCTGGTCATGTGTGGCCTCACACGATTGTTAAATATTTATGAGAAGGCACAATTTGTATGACATCCAGACAATGATCTTTTATGGCCAAGTATGGCAATAAAATTGTTTGAGTAGAGATTATTATTAGGATTTAGCTCTGTAAGGTCGGGTTTAAATCACGTAATGTCTTAATGCTCTGTATTTGCTTATTAGGATCGGGTTATTGCGTTTAAGGGACTTCACACGCAAGCATAAATTCCCTCTCATAAACCTCTCAGCGCACATCTGTAGTTTTAACAACAAACTGTCTTCCACACAGGCCACATTATGCTTTTATACATTCACTTGATTGCCAAGGAAGACATTAATGTGTGCCCAAATGTGGTTTAAATAATTGAATTTATTAGGTTATCTTCATCAATACAGATTCGTCAATACAGAAAGTATGAGTGCGAGACAAAACAACACCGTTTCAGCAATGGCAGTAACTTTTTTCCTGTTCCATTGTCTCTCCTCATGGGCTGTAATCTTCATTGTTGAATATTGTTCCTCAGCAATGTCTTAGTAGAAAGTAGTCTATCACTCTGATTCACAGTGCAGCTCGTCCTCTTCTTCCATGCTCCCTTCAGATTGAGATTCAAAGCGTTTGTTTCCTGAGCCGAAACTGTGAATGGCCTCAGAGACAGTGTAGCGACTTCGGCCTTCAGCACAGGCCTCGATTTTTTTCACACTTAGTTGGGACTGTAGGAAGAGATGTAAGCAGCTGTCGGAAAGCAGCACCGGGCTGTGAACCACCCTTGAGGATGTAAGTATATACAGTAACTGATCACAGAAACCATAAGCATTTCAGTTACTGTATTTTCTGAGATTCAAGAGATGAAATACTGAGATACGTCACATGTTCTCAAGCTAAACGTATTCTTTCAGCCATGGTTTTATGTTTGTTGTATGTATCTTGTTCTTTAGTTCTATTTTGATACTTACTCTTCTAGAAATTTCCTGAGCCCTTCCATACGGGCTCCGATCTCTCTGGCATTGTTGAGACTGAAGAACGGGTTTTTTGGAGGAAGTTTGGGTATATGTGTTCTGCAATTCAGAAACAACAACAGAAGTTGAGTTTTCATTTGTCACATAGAAAATTGCCCAATGAGTGAAACTTTAATATGTCTACAATACAGCTGCCTAATATGGTAATTAGTAGTATTGTTAACTAAAATGATTAAAAACGTTTCTGTTTATGACAATAAAGCCAAAATAAAATAAAAAGGGGGGACCAATTCTCACTATTAACTAGTTGCTTATTAGCATACATATTCCCGCTACTAGTAAGCATATTGGCTGTTTATTAGTATTTATAAAACACATATTAATGCCTGACCATATTCTACATCCCTAATCTTACCCAATACCTAAACTTAACTACCTTACTAACTATTAAGAATTAGTAGTAGTAGCAAGGAGTTTATTGAGGCAAAAGTCATAGTTAATAGTTAGTTAATATTGGTCCCCAAACAAAAGTGTGACCAATAAAGGAAAAAAAACAATTAGAAGAAAAACTTAAAATTACTAAATTACTAAAAATTATTAAAATGAAAATTGAAAATATAGAAATAAAAGCTAATTTAATTAATATTTATAAATACTAAAATGGTATATAAATAAAGCTAAAACAATCCTAGTAATTAGCAACAATTAGTAATTTGTAATTAGTCAATTTATTTATATTAACTGGGACACAAATTGGGTCAATGCTGTGATGTTCAAACTAATTAATTTTAATTAATTAAAAAAACATAAAAAATGTAATGCGCACATATACAATGACTTCAACACACCTCTACTATGATGATCATGATTTAAATTTCTGTATCAAAATAAAAAAATGTCAGGGTGTGACACATATTCATTTATTTTTTTTTAAATACATTCAATAAAATGATTAATTCTTTCATTCATTGTTCAGTACACCTTCTATGATGATCATGTTGTTAATTTCTGTATCAAAAAAAAAAAAAAAAAACTATCCAGATAACATAATGCATAATAAAGGATATCAATAAAATTTATATACAGAGGGTTTATGTCTAAAAACTTGGGTTTTTCAATTTTCATAGACGCTGTTTTACATCATTGACCCGATTACAAACGATTAACCATAAGTGAACAAATTCTGAACAAAGTAAATAAGAATAACAGGATGCAATGGTTACATACATGAGCATAGCATTTTCCTGTAGCTTTTTTCTTAGCCACACAAACTCGCTGTATCTCCGCCGCACACAGGAACTCTTCTTAGTGAAGGCCAGACTGTTTGTCTGAATTAATGTGAAATATAAAGAATGATCAGGAAGTTTCTGCCATCTGTTTTGACCACTTTGTATCATATGTTCTGATTGCACTTACATTTATACAGATTTCATAATCCATGTAAGCATGCCAGAAATCCTCTTTCTGGATGCGAGGATCCCTCACCCACACGCCAGTGAATTCCTGCATAAGTCCAAGAACGCTGGAAAAGACCTCACGCATACGCTCACAAACTCACATTGGACAAGGACACATAACCAGTACTCAGAGGTTTAAAAAAATGGGAAGAATAAAAAGGGAAGTATTTTCATGAGACATTGGTCTTGCTGACCAACTGGGGCTGATTCATGGGAACTGTAGACTGGGGAAAAACATCCAAGCTCATTTTGTGTCTCTGACGGACAGCGGTGCTTCATTTTTACCAGCCACCAGAGACATAGCAGACTAGCACTGCCATAAACATAAAAGGAGCAGGAAAAAGCAGCTGGAAAAAATGGGTACCATAATCATAACGCCTGCATGTTTGAAACAACTGGCAGTACTTAAACAGTTATTCATGTACAGCTTTTCAAACCTCTTGATATTACAGATAGGTTACAGGGTTATTATATTTAGCAAAAATTAAAACCATAAAAAACATTCATTACTGGAAATAAAATAAATGTTAACTGAAATAAAATGTAAAAAAAAAATAATTTCAGCTAGTTTCTAAAGCAAGATTTCTCATTTTCATTTAGTGTAACAATGTACTAAAATAACTGAAACTGAAATATATAGACATAAAAAAAATGATAAAAATAATACAAGATAAAATTAAAAAGAAAAAAAATGAACGAATGAAAATTTTCAGCATCATTACTCCAGTACAAAAGATTTCTATTTTAGATAAATGCTGCTCTTCTGAACTTTCTATATTCATCAAAGAAACCTGAAAAAAATCTACTCAGCTGTTTTCAACATATTAATAATAATAATAATAATAATAAATGTTTTTGAGCAGCAAATCAGAATATTAGAATGATTTCTGAAGGATCATGTGACTGGAGTAATGATGCTAAAAATTCAGCTTTGAAATCACAGGAATAAATTACATTTTAAATAAATATACTCAAATAGAAAAGTTATTTTAAATATTAAACATATTTCAAAATTTTACTGTTTTTGCTGTACTTTGGATCAAATAAATGCAGGCTTGGTGAGCAGAAGAGACTTCTTTAATAAACTTTAACTTTTAACTGGTAATGTATCACATTATAACGTGACATTGATCCCCTTTTCTGGCCTGTCAAATGTACTCAACTGTTTTAAATGTTTTTGAGCAGCAAATCAGAATATTAGAATGATTTCTGAAGGATCATGTGACTGGAGTAATGATGCTAAAAATTCAGCTTTGAAATCACAGGAATAAATTACATTTTAAATAAATATACTCAAATAGAAAAGTTATTTTAAATATTAAACATATTTCAAAATTTTACTGTTTTTGCTGTACTTTGGATCAAATAAATGCAGGCTTGGTGAGCAGAAGATACTTTTTTAAAGGGGTCATATGATGCGATTTAATTATTTTTACTTTCTCTTTAGGGTGTTACAAGCTCTTGGTGCATAAAGAAGATCTTTAAAGTTGCAAAGACTAAAGTCTCAAATCCAAAGAGATATTCTTTATAAAAGTTAAGAGTCAGCCACACCCCCCTAAAACGGCTCGTTCGAACACGCCCAAGTTGCTTTGCAATGATTTGTATCGTGAAAAGCGCTGTACAAATAAACTTGACTTGACCTGACTTGACTTGTTCCAGAACACTTCAACCCAAATATTCAGATGTGTGCAGCACATTTTATGGAGGACTGTTTCCTGATCCTGGTAGAGTAGACTACAATGCCGTCTGTTCTGACTCACAGACTGTAAGTACGTTTTTTTATATTTAAAGAGTTTTTATATTTTATATTTTTTATATTTAAAGCGAGTTTTTTGGGCAGTGTAGAGTAGTGCTTGTTGTTTGTCGTTTCTCCGATCACAAATACAGACATGGTTTTATGTTTATGCGGCGCGATGCAACGCAACGTGTAAAAAGACAGTATAAGTCATTATAATCCATAATTATGTCTCCACTGGATGCAACGAATGCCTCGTTTATAATGGGTTTTAATGTTTTTGTCTAGTCGCTCCGGCCGGACAGGGCATCACAGTATGGTAAGTGGCGTAACATTTCCGTCTCACGCTTGAGGTATTCGGCCAATCATAACGCACTGGATAGCTGGCCAATCACAGCTCGCCTCGCTTTTTCAGACCGATGAGCTTTGTAAAAATCAACGCATTTCAGAAAGGCGGGGCATAGAGGAGAAACAATAATGTACAGTATGTGGAAAATAATGTGTTTTTTGAACCTTAAACCGCATAAACACATTTCATTCCACCAAATACACAAAATACTGTTCTTTTTAGCAACATCATATGACCCCTTTAAAAGAAAAAACATAAAAAATCTGCTCAAAAACTTTTGACTGGTGGTGTAAAAAAATCAGAATATTATAATATAAATAAAATATAAATAACATTATAAAAGTATCTCAATGATACTAAAATAAAACTGATTGGTTATTTTACATTTTAATTTTGAACATTTTGCGATTTAAAAAAAAAAATCTGATAAGAAAAAGGTTGCTTCATCCATTTTTACAATAGAATGTACCAAAGGTCATTATAGTTATTTGATTTAAGACACTTTTTACAGACAACTGCAATTTAACATAAGAATAATCACAACACTTCTGAGGTAATTTTATGTTTATTTAAAGCACCTAGAGATTGCTCACTTGAGATTAAAGGTTAAACAGTGATCTTTACAGAAAACAGGAAACCAGAAGATCGAAACTGCAGGACAAACGCCTTTAACACAAAACCTCAAAACCTCAATGCCCTGTTTATACTACTGCTATGAAACTGACACTGACCTACAACTAAAGCGTTGATGTTCACAAAAACGTGATTGTATAGGCTACATTCTAGAATTAGTTTTGTGCAAATCTATGGATTTATACCTGCATGAGCCACACTAAGCCCTCACAGATCATCACAGTATAACTTGAATAAGTGCGTAACCAGGGGTTAATAGTACATCTACACACCAAACAGTTCCTCTCCAACAGGTTTTGTACCATCTGTCGTCATCTCCTGTGTGTATTCACAGTTCAGATCATAGTAACAAAGAGGACAGAACGATAAACATCACAAATGAACTTTCAAACAACAGACCAAGAGATACAACAACATCTGATTAACAAAACACTTAGCGGATTTGTAAAACCATACACTACAGTAGAGCTCTAGTACTCCAGTCACATTTCTACAGATTAGTGTGTTGGGAAGAGCTTCACATTGGAGTGTGGATTCACACACTTTGAATACACGGTACATCAAACGGTAAACTTATGCCACAGTGTTTGTGTATGTTTAAAGCTGCCAGGAGGTACAGTAGTATCCACTGCTACACATTTCTCTCTCTCATTGCTCGTCTTCTCCATGCCAGGTCAGCTTGTCCTCGTAAAAGCGGATCACCATCTCGGGCCACCTTTTACTGGCCTCTCCAGCTGACAGTAAAGCCACCTCATCTGTGTTTTTCCTGAAATTAAAGAAATGATGATGCGTCTTAATGGACAAATACAGCAAATTACATAATCAGCAGCTGCAGTGGTGGATTAGTGGAAATAACATTGTATACTTTCCCTTTTTTTTTTTTTTTTTTTTTTTTCTTTTTTTTTTTTTTTTTAAATGTGAGGTTGCTTTTGATCTTTCTCTCTATTTATGTGTTGAAGAGGAGCCGTGGACATTAAAGGAAAGGAATAGTATTATCAGTACAGTATTAACTAAAACTATAAAAAAAAAAATTTTTTAACCAATTGAAATAAACCTGAAATAAAATATAAATATTAGACAAAAAACTTGGCAAATAACAGAAATACTTAAAAATTGCTAAAAGTACTAAAACTGAAAAAAAAAAAAAATTAAGGTTATATATATTTCAATATTCAAAAAAACTAAATATAATAAAAAATAATAACAAATTACATATAATAAATACAGTACATATAAAAATTACTAAAAGTAAAATATAAAAAGCTGATTTAAAATATCAATATATATTTTTAATAATATATAAATAATACTAAAATAATAATTTAGTAATTTTGTTGTATGTTTTTGTCATTTTTATTAGTTACTCTTTTTTAATAGGTATATATATATATATATAAACTTTAAAAAAAAACTAAAACTAAAACTACATAGTTTTTGTTCATTTTTATTTCAGTTTTAGTTTTTTTTTTTTTACTACATCATGTTAAACTAAATGATAATGACAAATGCTGCTTTGGCAACTAGCTGAATAGAATAAATTTTTTCCCCCACATTTTATTTCAGTTATTGTTTATTTTATTTCAAGTAATGTTTTAGTTTTATAATAACTCTGACACTGTGGAAATGTCAGTACCTGACAAAAATGTGCTGCTATTTTGATCAGCTTGTTGCTTTTCTAAACAGTTTGCCAGTTCAGGCAATGTGATGTAAAGCATTAAAGCCAAGTTAACATTTAGGTGTGTATCAATCCATGATCTGAGAAAAAAAAAAAAACAATTCTATGCATTGATTAAAATACAAAAATAGCATTACTGCATTCAAAATGAATAAAGCAGTGTAAAGAAAGCCCACATATAGTCCAGTGTAGAAATTTTACCACTTGATGAGGAACATGAGCTCTCCTTGTTGGTCTGTGCATCCGATGATGCAGTCTGGTTCTGGGTTGCTGGATTGGCCTGCTGGGATCTCAGCATTGTGATCACCAACCTCCTCATTACCCTTCTCAATGAGCTCCTCCTGAGGCTGCTGGTGAGCCTGCATGATTCCAGACACAGAACTAAACTATCATAAAGCCTGACAAGAGGGATACATTATATATCACATGGCAAGAGCAATAAACCTGTAGTTTTTGGAGAGCGTGTACAGGACTAAAACTCTGTACCAATGGTGTTTAGTCCTGCTCCCCGGAGGGCCAGCCTGCAGAGTTTAGCTCCACCTTCTCTAATAAACCTGAAGACCTTGATTAGCTGGTTTAGGTGTGTTCCATTAGGGATAAACTCTGTGGAAACTTGCAGTGTTGCCAATTTAGCTACTTTGTAGCTAGATTTAGCGACTTCCCCGCCCCTTTTGAGACTTTTTTCAAAAGTTTAGGGACAAATAT